TATCTATTGATGGGACCAAATTTAGTTCAGTACAGAATGGGGTATACTATGTATGTTATTGCAGTAAGTATTTAAGTTATGTAATAATAAAACAGCTTTATAAAAATAAAATCAGTTTTAAAAAGTTCCCATTTTCATGCACGTCTTATTCCATTGATTTCTTTAAAGGAGGCCTTAACAGTGCTTCGTATATCTTACCGATTGGCAATGCGTCGTCTATATATCGACATGTCCAGTTTTTCAATTATTTTAAAGGCAACAGTAAGCGTTTTCTGCTTTTCACGTATAAGATATTGAAGAAATTCTGCTTCATATGAATACAAAAATACATCTCCTAGTAACGGGGCGCAGAAGGTACCCATTGTAATTCTAGTGGATTGACGGAGGACTTGGTCTCCTAAAACCACATAGATATTGTAAATCAGAATCTCAAGCATACTTTTTACTTTAGAGTACTAGTGCGTATGGAATGTATTTTTAAACAAAATAATTAACAAACCAATGGCAAGAAACTTAATTGGCCAAAAAAAAACAAAAAAAAAAACGGATGCGTAAATCAAACTTTTCTCTGCTTTATATTTCCGTACAATCAAATATTTAGTATTATTAAAGAAAGTAAAATTGTACATGACGACAATAAAAGGTATTCCGAATTTTCTTAACTCCTTCCTATGCAAAATTGCATATTTAAAACAACTGTCATCTTTGTAAGTTCTCAGCATTGAGTTTTACAAATATATATGCTTAGCATTATATTAAACCAAGAATAAGTAATTGAATCCATGATTAGGTCACTTGAGCCACAAGGTGACCTATTGCTGTATGTTTTCGTCCGTCGTCGTCAATCGTTCGTAAACTTTTGAACATTTTTAGCTTCTTCTGCCGCTGACTCAATTTCAACCAATTGCGGCATATAAAATCTATGGGTGAAGGGGAACAAAAATTGTGAAATCCATGGCCCCTGCCCCCGCCTCACCCCGGGGCCTGAGGGGTGGGGCCAAAACCACTAATATTAATGCAATCTAAAAATCCTCTTCTTTACTCCTGGACATCAAGCAGTCAAACTGTTGACATGATTGTAATGAGAATCGAGACCTCTACCAAAATTGTGAAATTCATTACTCCAGGGTCAGGGGTTCGAATGCTATGGCGGGGCTATATAGATTACAAGAGGCCTATGAGCCACATCGCTCACCTAAGCACTGTGGCTAGGAAAAAATCAATTCAGTAAATGCCTACGTGGTCCCGATCCTAAAAAGGGGGGGGGGGGGTATGATTTGAACAAACTTGTATCTATGCAATCTTGAATCTACACTAAGGATGCTTACATATTTTTTTTGTCTACCGGTAACTGTGGCTTTTTTCTCTATAAGTTTGAACTTTTATTGTGATCCCACCCAACACTGGGGGTCATGATTTTCACAAATCTCTATCTAAACTACCTGAGGATGCTTCCATAGAAACAAGACCAATCATGACTTTGCTGTTCTTGAGAAGATTTTTCCTATATACTCCTATGCAAAACTTTGATCGTCCACTGTGGCCCCGCTCTACCCCGAAGGGTCATGATTTGAACAATCTTATATCTACACTACCTGAGGATGCTTTCTTATAAATATGACCAATCATGGCTTTGCTGTTCTCAAGAAGATTTTTTTAAAGATTTTTCCCATATATTCCTATGTAAAACCTTGATCTCCATTGTGGCCCCGCCCTACCCCCCCCCCCCCCCCGGGGGGGGGGGGGGCATAATTTGAACAATCTTGAATCTACACTACCTGAAGATGCTTCCATATAAATATGGTCAATCATGGCTTTGCTGTTCTCAAGAAGAAGATTTATAAAGATTTTTCCTATATATTCTTATGTAAAACTTTGATCGTCCATTGTGGCCCCGCCCTACCCCCCTGGGGTCATGATTTGAACAAATTTGAATCTACACTACCAGAGGATGTTTCCACATGAGTTTAATCTTTCCTGGCCCAGTGGTTTTTGAGAAGAAGATGTTTGAAAATTGCCATTAATTTTTTTAGTAATTTTTAATTATCTCCCCTTGGAATGGGGTGTGGTCCTTCATTTAAACAAATTTGAATCCCCTTCACCCAAGGATACTTTGTGGCAAGTTTGGTTGAAATTGGTCCAGTGGTTCTTGAGGAGAAGTCGAAAATGTGAACAGTTTACAGACGGACGCTGGACAAAATGTGATCAGAAAAGCTCACTTGCGCCTTCGGCTCAGATGAGCTAATAAAGTGAAAGTGCATTATTTCTTTGAAAATCTTCTTCTCTGTTCCTGGGTATTAAACAAACACATGTATAGTTATGATGAGCAAGAGTATCTCTTACATTATTGTGAATTTCATGGCCCCAGGGTCAGGGGTTCTGGAGTAAGGGCTGGGCTCTATCTATTATATGGTACATTGTAAACATGCAATAATTCTTTGAAAATCTTCTTTGCACCTGGGAATTAAGCTAATGAATTAATTACGTAGTTATGATGAGGAAGAATGCTTCTTCTAAAATTGTGAATTTCAAGGCCCCAGGGTCAGGGGTTCTGGTATTAAGGCATGACTGTATTGATTATATAGTGAAAATGCATTAATTCTTTGAAAATCTTCTTCTCTGCTCCTGGGTATTAAATAAACTAACTAGATACATAGTGATGATGAAGAAGGATGCCTCTTTAAAAATTGTGAATTTCATGGCCCCAGGGTTAGGAATTCTGCTGTAAAGGGGGGGGGGGGGGGCTGAATTGATTATATAGTGAACATGCATTAATTCTTTGAACATCTTCTCTGCTCCTGAGTAATAAACAAACTACGTATATAGTTATGATGAGGAAGGGTGCCTCTTTGAAAATAGTAAATTTCATGGCCCTAGGGTCAGGCGTTCAGATGTTACTTTGGGTGCTCCATTATATTAATCAAAACCTTGATGATGAGAATGGTACCTTTTCCAAAATTGTGAAATGTGTGGACCTAGGGTCAGGGGTTTTTGTGGGGTGGGGGCACTACTGATTATTGCTGAATATTACTGATTAGTTGAAATTCATTTTTGTTCCCCTATTCTGTCTATGGGTATCAAGTAACCAAACTAAACATGCTAGGTGTATAGTTGTGATGAGCAATGGTGCCTCTTTCAAAATTGTCAATGTCATGGCCTCTGGTTTAAAACATGAACCAAATTCAATTGTTGGAAAGATGTTGCAGAATGCTCATGTGGCCTATATAAGGCCCATGGGCCTCTTGTTTCCATAATTTTTTCAATGTAAGTAAACAACAGTGTTTCTGTTCACCCATAGTCAATTGCCTTTGAACATTTTTCCTGCAGAATTAAAGCAAGTACCCTATGTTGAAAATGAATTAAAGTCTTAATATGCACGCTTTTGTATGATACATATATACTTTTCTCCAAGTCCAAGAAGCACTTTTTGTTAATGTTTAGAGCTTTCTTAAACTCTGGATCTTTGTAACCTGTCATATCCACTAGGATTGAAAACATGCTATTTGTTTGGAATACAATTTTAAAGATATTTAAAAAATATTTTTTTCCATGAGAGTACGAATACAACTATAGTGTATAAATGCATGAACATTGATCTATCCCTTATTTATATAGCAATATGCCATTGTTGCCAATATGTTTTTGGAAATTATGTCTCCCAGTTGCTTCAATAGGCATGAACATGCTCTACATATTTACAATTTCTAAAATGATGCAAGCTATAGATAAATAAGTTGATATAACAAGGATAACAACAGTATTGTTTGAAGTAAACACTTTGCACATTCTATGGTCAATACATTGACACTGTCAGCAATCTATTATTAAACTGAATTTGATTGACTTTTGTCATATAAATCGTGAGGTCAATTTTTAAACACCAAAATGTCTTCCGACTTTTCCGTTTGTCCAGTCCAGACAAGATCAATATTGTATTACAGCTACGAAACAGAACACCCACCCCATCCCCTTAAACGAAAAGAGATAATTGGACTACCGGGTAATATTTTTTCCCCTGGCCTGCTTTTGCAAAAGTGAGGGGACATTAAATCTCATTTGTCTGTCTGTCTATCACAAAAACTTTAACCTTGGTCATATCTTTGAGTGAGAAGAGATAGGACTTTCATATTTCGCATTAAGTAGAATCTATAAAAAATCTCATGAAGTACTGGGGTAAGTAGTTTTAAAATATGTAATTTCACAAAAATAATTTATTACTGATTTGTACACATTTATAATTATCAACAAGCACTAAAAAATATACAAGTATTAGATGTGCTCTTATTTTCATTCATATTACTTAAACAAACCATATTGTTCATTTCTGATAATATTTGCTCATGTTTATCATTAACTGAGAAATACTTCAAGGTGTATCAAGTATACATACAAATTATTAAAACTTCTTAAACAATGACACAGATTTACAACTTTTACATAAAACATTTAATTAGACATCACAGACCTTAAAAACCTATACTTTGAACATGTTATAGTTTCACCCATAACTGCAATCCTGTAAAATCACATATTTCAAATTTCAAAAGGATCAAATTTTTTAGGTTTGAGGAAAAAAATGTTTGTTGGGATTTGATTTCCTGTTTGGAAAATGTTTAGTTGTAATGCATATCAAATTTTACATTGGTCATAAATTTCATGGGTCTATCCTTACCACAAAAAAAACCCCAAAAATTTCAACCCCACAACAACAATAAGTGATTTCACAATACTTTTTAAATCAATATGGCTATCCTCGACAAAGCAGAGATAACAGTACATGTGGCTTTATGTCCATTACATATTTTCCAAGATCTCAATCCTTACAAGCATAAATAAAACTTACTCAAATGTTCAAACAAAAGTAAAGAATGTTGTTGTCAAGCAAGATATGTCAAGATCTCGGCCATGTTCTCCAAAGTCAAGGTTATAGAATATACTGAAATTGTATATATTATAAATATCCCACAGTCTTATCAAAATAGGTTAAAAAACCATGTGTCTGTTTGTGTGTAGGGGGGATGAATTAGTTCTATTTTGGTGGATACTTTGATTTAATCTCCTTGATATATCAAATAAACTACCACCCTACTCCAGCATGCTAGAGGTTCATGGCGAGATATTTTTGACTCGGCGCCGAGGTATATAAGGACTGAAGGGACGTTAACTGAGGCTCTAACTTGAAGGAAGTAGCTACAACCCCAGGAATAGGCATACCTATCAAGTACATATACTGAAATTTTCAGGAAATAAAAAAATGTATTAATACTTTACTAAATTATTGCAATTTTTTTCTCTGAAAACTTTGGTAAGGTTAATAGGTATTCCAATTCCTATGCTACGACAGTAATGACACTCACAAAGCCATAAAAACTGGAAATGCAATAAATATACATGGAATGAACATTCTAAAATGATGTTTGAAACACATTTCCCTGAATTCTCCGGACTGATACACAAAACTTACAACTCAGTCTGGTGTCTCTATAGATATAACTGGCACCACAACTTTGGTCTGGTCTGTGGGTTTGTATTTTTTGGCAGATTCTGTTTTAGTTTGTGGGTCAGATGACTCCTGATTACGGTGATTTTTATGTAAGGAATAAGAGATGTTTCCATATTCCTGCAGGAATGGACACACTCCCAGAACAAACAGACAAAAATCTTTTCTCATTCCAAACCACCCTGAAAGCAAAGAGGGAAATCTTCATCTAAAACTGTCATGTTAATTGTTGGATTAGACATTAAGAAAGTGTCTTTCTAATAACATTATAAGAAATTCAACACAAGTATCGTGAAAGTTAGTTAAAGATCACTATTAAATATCATATCCTTGTACAATTTCTTAAGTTTGTGAAAATCTTTTTCATGTGTAATGTAGCTTAGAACAAGATAGCAGCGCCAAACCTACTTACATTGATTACCTCCCTTAGCTCCAAATGAAAGACAGATCATAGTAATAAGAGACACAAATAATGGAACAGTTATGGCAGTGTATTTAAAATGATTATCTCCATCCAAGCGATTGGCTAAAAGCACCTGAAAACGAATCAATCACAAGGTGAGAGGAATTAGTATACACCAACTTTTATTCAATTTAGAAAATTGTCAGTTTGAAATCCATCCACGACTATTCATGTTATGGGGACTCATGAAACACTCTGCATATTTCTCATATTTAAATGAAAGCTGTTTTACACTTATCAAATTTGAAAATTCTATTTTGACATTAGAATATACAGCTGAACTCGGTTATAACGAAGTCACTGGGACCTTAGAAATTACTTGCTGTACATGTATCCGTAATTCGTTTTAACCGTATAAGAAATTCATTGAATTTATATAGCTAGTGATCCAGTGACTTCGCTAAATCCGTGAATTTGCAATATCCGTGCTCGTACTAAACGAGTTTTACTGTAAATATATACAAGACTACATGACTGAAGAAGCTGTTCCTCGAACTGAAACATACCTCAAATATAAGTAAGGGAACAACAAGGAAGGAATAGCCCACAGCTGAGGAGACATTACCGCGCCGATGCTGAGGGACAATGTCAGGAGATTTAACGAGGATGATCGCCAGTATAATAGCATACAGAACACCAATCATAGCAGTACACATCACAATCCATATAGGGATAAAAACAATCTGACAAAAAAAAAACATGGTGGAATATCATGTAATATATTCATAATTATTTAATTTTTAAAAAGAGAAATTAATAAAATCATGTGATTAGTGTATATAATTTCATTTAATAATTAAGAGGAATCTACAAAATATATTTAATATTTTAGAGGAAATAATTGTTACATAATTTGAGGTCAAATGAAATTTTAAAGAACTTTATTCGGTAATAACCAATATTTGCCCCCCAAATCAAACTTTGATGGAGATATATTTAATTAAGTTCTTAAACAGGGGAGTATATGCTGACTTCAAAGCACTGAATATTGTCACAAGTAATGACGCCATATGTACGTAATGACGTCACAAACATGACGTAATTTTCAGTTTTTTATGAATATTACAGAAAATTGTACATATTTCGTCGATATTTTGAGTAAAAGTCACCGAGCGCATGTGTGTTCAGGATCAATATTTTGATATAATGTGTAGAATGATAATATCAATGAAATATGTCAATATTGTTCCTGAACAAACTTGCGCTCTATAAATTTTAAAGCTAAAATTGTTGAAATTTTGTCCATTTTGTCCTCTTTCTGAAAAAGGATAGAAAATCGGACTAGTTTGTGACGTCATAAAAACAAAAATTGTGAATACACTGCTTTGACATTATTATATTTTCTGTTAATTTATATTTCTCATACAATTTATTGAATTCAGCACATTTCAGAAAGTTTTCAAAATTTGACTTTTGTGGGGGCAAATACACTAGACAAAATTGCTAACGCACCACCTAATGAAAATAAAATTTTACTTTTCAAAACTTGTATAAGAAGTATTTGATATTGTATTCTGTTACAAAATTAAAAAATAAAGCATTTAAATTTCTTATTTGACAAATTACTACAATGTTAACTGAAGTGTGACCATTTCATAGAAAACGTGAAAATCGTGTTCATACTGATTTGGAGGGATAAATTTCTTATTTTTTCTTTGCAGTTTTGTTTTTTATGTTTGTACTAATTAGAAAATCAGAAAAAAATATACAGTATGCGGCATTTGATCCCAGGTGAGCGTGATAAAACAGACAGTTTGGTGTCTGCAGGGGGTACCTTTGGAAAGATATGTAAAAAATTAAAACAAGGAAAACAATATTTATTCTTCTGGTGAAAAATTGTTGCAAATAGATTAGTTAACATAAAATTGTTCACTCTAGATAGCCAAGCCATTAAATAAACACCACACCACAACTTGAATGTCGTTCCACAAAATTGAGGCAACCGGAAGTTGAGTGGATTGGGTCTGGACACGAATGCATTAGATGACTAGCAGGCGATATAATAGTAAATCGCTGCATATTATTTGATTTTTTTTTAACTGGGAGACTGTTTCTGGTTTAACCTCAAGGACCATCATCTGTAATTAGAAATGCATATATCTGGGCAAAAAGAGGTACGCAATGCATGTCGGGAAATCGGTTTTGGGCAAGAAGGTCATTTCGAGGTTTTGTTCTGACATCAAGACATTTGAAAATCCCATTGTATTGAAAAACATGGCCTTTTGTATATACTAATACCGTTTAGGTAAATGTTCAATTCACAAGGAAGAATTATCGGTGGTGCGTTAGCAATTTTGTCTAGTGTATATGCAATATACCGCATATAGTTCTTTGCCAAACAAAATCTGACATTGAAAAGTATCATATTACAACTTGTTTGTTCTATGAATTTCATAATCTTCATTTTCTTGCAGTACAATACAAAATCATACAAGAAACTTCTTGTTGTAAAGTTATTTTTTCATTGCGTAGGTACATACATGTATTTGAGTACCTGAACAACAACATGTACAAACTTCAAAGCATTTAGATTGTGCATTGTGTTTTCTATCTAGAATTTCTATTGTGTAATTACCTATACACTCAGCATTCCTCTCACCCTAGACTTAATCTTCAGTATTATAACCACTTTATTACACTACTTTACTGATTAGCTACTTACCACCCAACTCCAGTCAATGTACTTGTCTAGACGCAGTGCCAGGAATATAAACTGTAATATGTTCACTGAGCAAAAGAACTCCATCTACAATAACAAAAAAAGTTAATACTTTGGTTGATTATTTTAATTAAGGAATAACTGTCTTATTTTTCGATTTCATGATGTGATCAATCGATTGGCTTACATGATAATTTGCATAAACGCCGAATGCGTTTATGCATAAAATTATCATGCAAGCCAATTGATTGATCATCGTCATGAAATTGAAAAATCTGACAGTTATTCCTTACATTTACATGGCATTGATTCCGCCAATCCACGTTCTACAGGCCCTGCTTCTGTCTAGCTATTTGTCTCGCCCTGCACATGATTTTTTTTAACCGCGCCTATTGATGAACCAGTACATTGATGGAGAAATAAAGTACATTTACTATTTGTAATTTTATCTCGAACAAAGACATTGGAAATGTAAATAGGAGAAAATAAATATATGTATCATTACACTTACACAATTGACTATGTAAATATCTATAATGGATTTCTATGTAGATACAATGTAATTATATTTTAGCATTTACATTGTACTTTGTCTTAGATTCATCTCTCTTTCTCTCACACACACTAAACAGACAAAAATACAAGTCTATTTACAGTAACCTACCTCAAAGGACCTTTCATTTTTGACGGCCCATATACAGATTCCTATGGAAACTAAAGACATAAACATGAGAGGAATGAAAACTAGGATCCAGGAGTGAATTTCTGTCTCCAGATTATTACAAGCCAGAATCTCAAACATCAACAACAGCAGATGCATTCCGGTACAAATCACCATGGCCTTAAACTGCACGTGGCTGTTGTTCTCCATTCTACAACAATAAAAGGTTTGTCAACAAGTAACCAGATACTCAAGTTCTCGTGGTGACATATACATAGGAAAAAGTGGCTTGCATGATATTCACGACTAATGTGATTATCTTTTTATTTCAAAATTATGTGAAAATCATATGAAAATTATTAAAGATATTTTTATGTGAATATCATGTGAATATAAGTTTGTATGATATTCACACCAATTTTATATTGAACTTTCATGTGAAGTTTTCTTGCATGATATTTATGTAATATGCTCTTGTAAAATTCATGTGAAATTTATATCAAAATCACATGAAGTTTTCATATTAATTTCACATGTCTTGTTTTTCGTGTCTTTTTCATGCAAAGAACTCGTATGAAATTTATGAGAGCCACTTTTATAATAATAATAATAATAATAAAAATTTCTATAGCCCCCTATATAATAAAAAGTATCACCCTAAGGCGCTTTACATAGAATGTACATAAAACATTGCATATATTACTTTAAAAATAAAAATTTGACTTATATTGAAAATGACTTGTTTTGATATAGAATAAGAATAAAAATTACAGTCACAAGGACTTAAAAATATAATGTTTAAGAAAAACAAATAAAAATTCAATAGATAGATCAATCTAAAAAGTTAATCAAATGCTAATTTATAAAAATGAGTTTTCAATTTTCTTTTAAAACACTGGATGGATTTGGATTGGCGAATATGCACCGGGAGACTGTTCCATAAATGGGCAGCAGAATAGCTAAATTTTCTTTCACCATACGTCCCGGTGCGCACCCTTGGTAAATTGAGCAGCAAACTTCCGTCAGATCTTAGTGTGCGGTTAGTTTGACGGACAGTTACAAGTTCCTGTAAGTATTCGGGTGCAAAACCATACACAGCAAGGTAGGTAAAAACGAGGATTTTATACTTTGGCCGGAACTCCACTGGCAGCCAATGCAATTCAGCGAGAATCGGAGTGATGTGATCGTATTTTCGTCTCCTTGTAATAAGTCTAGCTGCATTGTTCTGGATTTTTTGTAGCCTTTCCACAGAACTCTTGTTTATGCCAACTAGTATACTATTCCCGTAGTCCAGTCGAGATGTAACTAAGGAGTTCACGAGAGTCTTGCACGCATCAGTTGAGATGAAACTCCTAATTCTTCCAATGTTGCGGAGATGATAATTGCATGTTTTAATGATGGACGCTACTTGCTTTTCCATAATGAGAAATCTATCAAAGTGGATGCCTAGATTACGTACAGACGTTACACTGTTAATGACACTTTCTCCAACTTTAAGTTGTAAGACTGGCACATTTTTGGATTGGAATTTCGTTGTAAAAATTATCAATTCGGTTTTATCCTGGTTTAATTTAAGAAGATTAGTCGACATCCAGGTCCCTATGTCCTGCAAGCAATTTTCAAGTCGTTTAAAATAGTTGTTCCAGTTTTCACGAGATTTTATTATCATGTACACCTGGGTGTCATCGGCATAGCAATGATATTTGAAACCGTGCTGACGACAAATTTCTCCAATTGGTTTAGAAAAAAGACAATAAAGTTTTGGTCCCAGAACGGATCCTTGTGGGACACCAAACTGAAGATGGCAAGGGTTTGACGTTTCCGTTCCAATGATAACACGTTGTTGCCTGTTAGTAAGGTATGATTTTATCCACGCTATTGATTTTCCACCAATGCCATAAGATGTTTCTAAACGTTGGAAAAGTATTGTGTGGTCTATGACATCAAAGGCAGCAGAGAGAGGAGTACCATTACAGCAGATGATTGATTATCAAGGGCCTCCATGATGTCATGATTAACTCGAAGAAGTGCTGTCTCCGTAGAATGTTGTGGCCTGTAAGCTGATTGCAAAGGGTCCCTTAAAAGATTTTTGTCAAGATGTTCATCCAGGCGTGTAGCAACAACTTTTTTAAAATTTTAGATACAAAAGGGAGGTTTGAGACAGGACGGTAGATTCTTATAGACGTCTTTATCGAGTCCAGATTTCTTCAGTAGTGGTCTTACTAATGCCTCCTTGAACAGTGATGGTACTTCTGATTGGTCGAATGAGATATTTATAATGTTGGTAATAAATGGAACTATAGCATCCAAGTTCTTTTTTAAAATCGACGTCGGGAGTGGGTCAAGTTCACACGATTTGGTCGGTGCTTTGCCTAGAATTGTTCTCACTTCGTCGTTTCTTGTGGGTCAGCAATGGCTCGCCGCTGAATGGAATATCCTTATCCATAGTTCTTTCCATGTTAAAGGTAGTAAGTTCTTTAAGACCATCTCTAATTGTGGCCACTTTGTTAATGAAGAATTCAGAGAATGTGTTAGACAACTCTCTATTAGATGTCGACGATGGTAGAATACTTTCCTGTTGTTTTCCCATCAGTGTCTTCGATAATTTGAATAGTTGCTTGTGGTCCTTACCGCATTCTTCTATCTTTTGAGAAAAATAGTCTTGTTTGGTTTTATAGACAAGTCTGGCTGTCATAGAACACATGTCCCTAAAAATTTGCCGATGAACCTCTAGTCCTGTCCTACGCCAAACTCTTTCGGCTCTGCGTCTCTTGCGTTTTGCATCACCGAGTTCTTCGGAAAACCACTGGGTGTTTGGTCGAAGTAGAACAGATTTTGTACATAAGGGAGCATGTTTTTCCACAGCGTTTTGTAATGTGGTGTTATAATGGTCAACTAATTGAGCAACAGGCAAACTTGTATCAGGTATTTCAAGATTGATATCCTTTGATAACTCATCTAGGTCAACATTTTTCCATTTGTGGAAAGTTATTTCTTTCTTGATGCGCTTTTGTTTGCTACATGATAGCACGGCTTGAATGGAATAATGATCACAAAACGAGTTTCCATGTGCATCGAACAAGTTTGGATCTTGCACTGATGGTTTGGTCTTAAGTATAGTTGATTCAGATTTTGTTATGAGGAGATCCAGTATACAGTACCGACCAGACCAAACCTGACACAAAGCAGTCCCAGAGCAGTCCCGGGGACTGCTTTCTGGGACTGCTAAAGCAGTCCCGCAGCAGTCCCAGAGCAGTCCCAGAGCAGTCCCAGAGCAGTCCCAGCGGTCCCAGAGAGCAGTCCCAGCAGTCCCAGAAAGCAGTCCCAGCAGTCCCAGTGGGCGGGGTTTATGAATTTAATGGGCGGAGCTAACTCAGAAATGAGATTTGCAATAAACAATGGAACTATAAAAGGCAGTAGAAATTGATTCTGGGTAGTATGCCAGGAATCCTTACTTGTACGCGAAGGTCATTTATGAACAGAACATGTAAGCACATAAAAATTGAAATGATTATATTTTTTGGAGGAAAAAGGCTTTCACACTTACATGTACATACATGTGTATATCAATTACACTGAACATGAATATTTATATAATAATCACAATTCTTGGGTATATTAATAATTCTTCTGTGATTGATACTGGTTCCCATATTTTTTATACAGAAAAATTAATTATTTTTCACCAGAAGAAGCTTTAAATAGATCTTATCATTATATGGCCAATTTAGACTATCGGGATACTCTAATTTTAGAGTTTTCTTAAGTATTGGGGCTTTTAAAAAATTCTTGTTAATTTTCCAAGTATTATTTTTCAGCCATGATTAGTTTTACTGACATGTCAATTTAATTATCGTTAATGCCTTAGTTCTATAAAAGTTAGTTTTTAAGTGTTTTATTTGGAAATTTTAGAGAGTACATCTGTAAAGCACCAGATTGGAAGCTTCCGATTATGTTCAAAATTAATTAATCCCGAAAGAAATTTATACACATTTCATTTATCACATATTTTTTCGCATTAAATAAATTGAAATTCGGGTCATTGTTTACCAGCATGTTCAATGATGTGTAAAACTGATACAAATACCCAAATAACATGTATTGATTTTTCTGCCCAAAGGCGATTGAAACGATGGGTGTTGACACCATCTTATAAACATTAATCGGCCAGGTAAACACTGGCAAAACAAAAAAGAAAAAAATCACAATTACCGGTATTTTCAATTTTTTAAAAAAATAAATATACTCTTTTAATAACTTGTTTATAAATTAAAAGCTACTGGTAATTCATTAATTCCCCATTGATTATTCACATAGTTTATGTTACGGGAGAATGGTAGCATAATTTTATTTCATGGTCATTTGATTAATTGTTGGATTTGAGGATTACATGGTTTTCTATTTGAAAGTTTAAAACATGTTCCTTTTCCAATTTAAAATCTTATATCTAACTGTAAATTCTTAGTTTTAAATAGTACCAATGCAAATTTTGAGTACATAATTTAACATTAAATAATTTTAAAAAAGCCCACACGTAGCTATTTTTTTTCTCATAAACTTGTAGTTTATTTTTAGGGATAACAATTTTCTCAGGAATTTCTTATTTATCAACTTTACTATTTTTTTTATTTATTCTAAACTACACATCAATTTGTGTAAGTATACAGTCCCTGAAAATATGAATTAACTATAATAATCTCTACTTATTAAAAGATTTTAAGAAATCCTTGCTTTTTAAACAGTTTAAACTCCTCTCTGCTGCAAATAAACAAAACAACAGGGAGCCTGCAAATTCAGAATACACAAGGGGCGGAGCTATCATGTCACTCAGAACCTTTTTCACACATGAGTGAACAAAGCAGTCCCAAGGGCAGCTGGGACTGCTGGGACTGCTTTTCATAGCAGTCCCATAGCGGTCCCAGAGCAGTCCCACAGCGGTCCCAGAGCAGTCCCACAGCAGTCCCAGAGCGGTCCCAAAGCAGTCCCGGGGACTGCTTTCTGGGACTGCTTTGGTGTCAGGTTGGTTCTGGTCGGTACTGTATGTCCACGATTATGGGTAGCCGTGGTAATATGCTGTGTCAAGTTATGATCTTCTAATGTTTGTAGAAACCGTACAGCATTCGGGTTATTTTCATCGTCAATATGAAAATTAAAATCTCCAGTTATTATAGTCTCATGAGGGATGGTGACAGTTTGATCAAGGTAAGAATTCCATTGGTCAAAAAATAGGCTGGTTCGCAAGTCATTTGTTTTTGATAGCGGGGGCCTATAAATGACACTCAGTCTGATACATGTTTTATCCAGACATACTGAAAAATCCATGTACTCAAATTGGTCAATATCCAGTTCCTTATTAGGGAGGTGTTTTATGTCAATTTCTTTCCTGAATAATATGGCAATACCACCACCCCACCGGTTCTCTCTATTGAGATAAAGGAAATCATAGCTTGTTGGTATTAACTCTTGTTTCACAATATCATCTATAGTAGAACCTAACCAGGTCTCAGTCATTGCAAAAATATCCAGTTTATTAGACACAATGTAGTCATTTAGCGAAAGAGTTTTGTTCTTAACTGATCGACAATTTAGGACACCTAGCACAATATTATGTTTGTGTTGCGCTGGGCTTGGTGGCTGAACATTAATATTCCTTAGTATTCTCCGTTTTCTACTAGAATGTGTTCCGCCTTCATGACTTTTGCTTGTGTATAGCATGGTCTCCTTTATTAGTTCAGACTATAGTACCAAAAATGCTTCCATCATCTTTTAAGTCTGGAAACAGTTTAAACAGACTGGCAATTCTAAATTTATAAATGTCAGCTAAGTGAAGCTGAATTTACTTAATGGAGGGGCAAGTAATATATTATGTGTTAAATCATTAACCTTTCAATCGTACTGATAGTGACATTAAAATGATCCTAATGAATGCTATTTTCATTCCTCACCAATATACCCCAGTATTTATACCTATACTGGGGATGTTTACATCTGTTCATGTATATTACCTATATAAGGGGAAGTTTTCACCTGTATATTACCTGTGCTAGGGATGTTTCAACAAACGTGTCACCTGTGCTAGGAATGTTTCCAACAGTATACTACTACATGTAGTGGGCATTTTTCGACCAGTTCTACAGGGGATTATTCTAATACCTGCAGTATGTTATCTGTACTGGAGATGTTTCATATATTAGTAGTATATTACCTGTACTGGGGATGTTTCACGTATTAGTAGTATATTACCTATTCTGGGGGAATTTAGTCTATCTATCTGTAGAATATTACCTGTACTGGGGATGTTTCCACCAGATGTAGCTCCCTAAGGAAGCCCCGACAATGACAAAGATCTTCCAGATCCAGATAGGGAGGAAGATGACCCAGTAACTCCATTCTATGGTGTTGTCTAACCTCAGGGCAAATAACAGAGAAAACAGCAGCAGGCAGGTGAAGACCAAAAACTTACTAAAAAGTAAAATTATAATTATGTTAATAATTATAACAGCTTATTTGAAATGATGAGTTCAGGTTATTGGTAAATAAGTAATTCCTGACAGGGCCTGGAAACCTGTTTAAGGGAGAGCCAGGAGGAATGTAGCTACTGACCTGGTTTAATGATAGAATTCATATCTGCAATTGTAGCATAATAAACATGGCAATAACTCAAACTCAGTACATTTATACAAACAATCCAGAGAGTTCCAAATGTAAATATGGCAGGTAATTTGAAGCAAGAAAAAAATGTTGAGAAAATTAGTTGCATATTCGTCTTTATTTGGACTGTCTTTGGGGATAAAAGACATATAAAATCTCAAAAAATAGGTTTGTTATGATTTATTTTGGCAGTTATTTTCGGTGCAAATCCTTTTATATTCTTCAAGATTGTTTTGGAGCAGATCTGCTCAATTTGCTACCAGACTTGTCGAAATCTTTTAATCACTTTTAGACATCTGGTCTGACTAAGTCGAATGTTCTGTCTGACCAGTCAAAGTTTTGTCAGACCAGTTACTTGTACCTTATTTATACGCTGAGAAAGTCATATGAATAACAGCACCAAAATGCCCTGGATTATTTTTAACAGCCTTCATTCTTGTTTCCTTTCTTGGGATAGGGAGTCTTTAACAATAGACATAAATGACATGTTTTATGACTTTGCTATCACAAATTTAATTGGCTATCGTCAACGCACCTCTTACGCAGCCACATTTTTTCGTTCTTCAATCTTGTGACCTTTAGCTACGAATCCTGATCCTGACCTTTATTAAATATGCATTACGCTGAAGATTTTTTTAAAATGGACATCTTGACTGACATTTCCTTAAAAGTTATCGGACCAGACAAAGAGCGATGTATGGTAAGTGTCTCAATTGGCCCCTTAAAATGAATATCTAAATTTTACTTTATATATAGCTTTAATTTGTACAGATATATATGCGACTTTTATTGGTCATTTTCATTTTGATCAAAATGCCGTTATTTTAGAAATATGACATCATAAAAATCAGGTTTTCCCGCCATTTTAGCATATTTTGTATAAAACCGCTTATTTTCAAGCAATTTTTCTTCCAGAAAATATAGAGCGCAGCCTAGAACAAGCTTTATATTTTTACCAAAGATGCATATACCCAATACTGATTAGAGACAGAAAAATTATGTATGTTCTACACTACGCTCTATGTTTCCCATAAGAAAAAAACATCAAGAAAAAGGCATATTTTTGGCTTTTTCGTTAGATAGCAAAAATAGCATTATTTCTTATGTCATTTACAGCTAGAGAGTGCAAATAAATGTGAAAAATATATCAGAAATATTTCTAATATAATCTCTTCTTCAAAATAAATATCAAATAAACATATCTGAATGTCATTCTAAAATGCTGATTTTTAGGGGGCCAAAATTGGCTCTTATCATATATACTCCTTTTTACATCGGTCCAGAAAAGTTTTTACCAGCCTTGCAAACAGAACCAACAGATTTCGAAAAGTCTGTGCTACATTGCATCTATATGCGACATTCTAACTGTGGTGAGGGCTTTTCCCAAGACACAAATTATACTAACCATAATAGCGAGCGCAGCGAGCAAGTGACGCTCGTCCCTGCGAGCTCTAACAACAACGCCTAGGTGAAGAGAAAATTCGGACTACTGCACATTCACTCCATGGAAATTTTTTCTGCAGTAATTTGGACCCACAATGCATCGCTTCGTAAGGCTACATTCTCGCGAGAATAACAACAAAAGTTCAGCAAAAAAAATAAAAACTTCCTTGATTTAATGGATATATTGCAGATAAATAGTTAATAGCGAGCGCAGCGAGCATTGCGAAGCGACGCTCGTAACTGCTCTAATGACAATGCCTGGGCGAAGAAAAAATTCGAACTACTGCACATTCATTTGATAGAATTTTTTTCCACAGTAATTTGGACCCACAATGCATCGCTTCATACACAACGCTAAAGCAACGTTCTCGATAGAATAAGAACAAAAGTTAAATGAAATAATAAACTTGCCTTGATTTAATGAATTTGTTGCTGAAAAATGGTCAATAATTAAACGGTTCTTCATTGAAATCAGCCCTGTACAGGCTTCGGTTTGGTAAAGCAAAATGCATACGACGTCATGTGTCGTCAGAGTCGTAGACGCACCGAATGTCACATGCGGTTTGACGAGCCCGATCTAAATGAAAAATGGATAAGTATCTGCGCTCTAACGGTCGCACCGTCAACATATTAAAACGTTCTTCATTAAACAGCACTGCTCAGACTTTGTTTCGGTAATGTAACTTACACACGACATCATGTGACATCAGTCTAGACGAACCAAATATCATGTTCTGTTTGCGAGCCTGATCTGAGTGAAAACTGAATAATTTTCTGTGCTCGTCCCAACGGTCGCACCATTAACATATTATCTTATATGTCTCTGCTGAAACCAGGGACCTATATACTAACAGGCTAGTATATAGGTCCCTGCTGTCAGTGCTGAAACTAAACACATTTATATTACACATGTTGATTTATGAACTAGAAAAGTACTTGGTACATGTCCCGTAAATACCTAGGGTTAAAATCCTGAAAAAGGGTTTTCAAATTCATTCTCATTCATCCATATCGATCGGGGTAAAACTAAAAAGCCTTAAATTAGTCTTTCATTACAGATTCATTCTTGCAGCTTCTTCCATGACGCTCATATCCTTGAAAAAATATCAAGCTTGATATGATAAAGGCTTAATATTTTCTTAAATTATCATAGAAATTGACACTAAAAGCACTAATATCAAGAAAGTAATGCAGTAAAGTTCTCAATAATATCTAAAAAATCATTATAAATACTTTTTTATTTGATGTAAGTATTAGATATGACGTTCAGAATGTAAGTCGTAAACAATGCAAATATTTATCTGCATAACAGATTAATGATATTACCTCAAACAAAATAATATTTGTTGGTTTTTTTTAACGTTTTTAATTAATTCATCGTATAGAAAATGCCTATTCATACCATTTTTAAAAAAATTTTATTTGTTCTCTTCCATAAAGAATAGAAAGAGAATGACTTATTCAATCAGTCGCCAAATTCGAAATTCCCGTAAAAATGTCAGAAAATGATTTTGGCGCAATGGAATCAGCCAGTACTATAATAGAAGCAGTTCAGAACCAAAATGTGCATGAACTCTCTATGTTGGTAGATAAAGGTGAATATGACTTGAATAAGAGGGACAAAATGGGAAGAACTGTGTTATTCTTTGCTGCCTGTCGAGGAAATTCGGAAATTACTAAGACACTGTTAGAAAACGGAGCTGATGCAACAATTGTAGATAGGAATGGAAATACTCCTCTGCATTGGAGTGGTCATTGTGAGATTATTGACCTTCTTATGATTTATGGTGGCGATGTCTTTGCAAGGTATGTATTTGAAAAAATTATAATTGCCCTGTTCAAAAAAATCCTATTATTAGCTCACCTGAGCCAAAGGCTCAAGTGAGCTTTTCTGATCAAAATTTGTCCGTTGTCTGTCGTTGTTGTCGTCGTAGTCATTGTTGTTGTTGTTGTTGTTGTCGTTGTTAACTTTTCACATTTTCATCTTCTTCTCAAGAACTGCTGGGCCGATTTCAACCAAACTTGCTACAAAGTATCCTTGGGCAGGTCCAGGAAAATCACTATATTTAGCTATATAGGTAAATCTACCTATATAGCTTTATTTACCTATATAATATAGCTATATTTAGCTATTTCAGAGTAAATTTCTGTTTTATGAAAAGCAGACAAAAAGTCGCATAATGAGGCAGTAGTAGTTTTCAACTTTGAAATGAACTGAAAACAATTCACCAAAAACCCACTTACAAAAATGTTTCTCCTTCTGGGCAATTGCAATCAAAGATCTAAAGTTTTGGGGCTATGTATAACAGTTAATCTATGGGTAAGCAGCTACTTTAACAAAAGAAGCAGTTTTGGTCAACAAGATAATTGATTG